AACCTAGTGAAATACGTTTAATGTGCCAAAGTGCAAGTTATGTGACTTTTGGCACTTAAAACATTACAGCATACATTTACATAATTTTGATATTCCAGAAAATTTGTAACCTAGTGAGATTTTACCATTTTATTGTAAAATTGAAATAAATTCATTCACTAGAAAAAGTTTTATTCACCTCTCCTGAGAAGTTTGATTTTTTCTTTTTTTTTTCATTTACAACGTTATGTCATTGCATGCTTCATCTTCCAACATACTGTACAGTACATCCATGTAATGTACAAAAATATGTATATAAATAAAAGTAGAGCAGAAGCCACAAGCTTTACTATGTTTCCACAAATGACACATTTTATCTCTCACATAGTTTGTATGCTAATAGAACTACAAAGTCCCAATTTTAAACAATATTTTGGAAACTAGGGTCCACTAGATGAAATGCTGAAAACATGAATCAATTACTTTTGGCATACATTCACAATGTTAATGCTCATTGAAATATGACACCATGACAGTGTCTTTCCCTTGTTAGTTTTATTCACAAAATGTTATGGAAGTTTGCACTACCAATACTTTGTTGTCTGTCAGCCCAGGTTTTATTCAATCAGTGAATGGGGCCAGTTTTATATGAGATATCCTATTATATTAAAAATATTTTGGAGTCCAAACAAAAATTGCATTTGCTATTAATGTTAAATAATAATTAAATATTAAATTTATTACTAAAATGAGCAATAAACACATATAAATGACTCATGAGTTTATTCATGTTTAACTATAACTCAGGTTTGTGCCATTAGCTCCAAAAAGCAGAAGTGAATCTAATTTTGTACAGAGCTACTCAATTAGGGAGTCAGTCTAACTTTCATTTATAATAATGTGAATTAATAATAGACAGACATGAAAATTATAAAAATAAAATCAATTCCAAACAGAATGTAATATCACTAAGTACGATTTTTGATGGCTTTGAAATGGGCTGTCTGATAACACAAAGATTAACAGAAACATGCTAATATGACAAACAAGTTAGTTTCTAATTACACTATACACATTACATATATGTGGTATTATATAGACTCCTATTACAATTATTTTTTAAGTTTGATTTATTAACCAATTTGTCAGAAGAGAATGCAATAACAACTTGAGAACCTATATCTAATGATAAGCACAGTTAAATCTTGTAAATAAACAATATAAAGTATTTGTCTGTTCATTTTTCTATTACACCAAGTAAAAGCTTGGATTCAATCAATTTATAGCAAAACATAATATTATATAATAGTTTAGTGGATTAAGTTTTCCTATAGTAAAAACATATCTATTGTGATATAAATGAAAATTACACAGCAATTTTTCTAGCACAGCAATATGTTGTTTGTTTTTTGTATATATGTGGCAACATGGCACACAGGTGATCTGTTGAGGGGGATGCCTCCTGGGAAGAACTTTCTATGGAAAAACAGCTCCTATTTAGATTGTTACAAGATAATCTGGAAAATGTGTGATCAGCCTGTTGACAAGGCACAAACCCACATGTTCAGTAGTTTTGTCCACTCAGTCACTGGTGGGCAGCAACATATGATTCATGATAAATATTCTAAATTGTTTAAC